ATACACTATTTGATCTCGACTCTGAAGTCCCCACAACATCAGCAAGGGATCGTACACTTAGAAGCCAAACTAAAGAAAAATCCGCCCTATCCAAAACATTTAAAGCCAAAGATCAAAAATCCACCTCGTATAACCGATATAGTAGATTCCTTAAGGGGCTATATACAGAAGTTTTGTCGATTTTTTTTTGACACCATAAAGCATTTTTTTATAAAAAAAATATTAAATAATAAAAAAGTTATGGCCGAATTCCAAGATCGTCTTTTTTCGATGGTGACTTGCGGTGGACATCATATCCCGAGAACAGTTCATCAGAAATCAAAAATTCAAAAAAATTTCGTTAGTATATTGAATTGCCTTGTCCGTGAACGAAGGATTTGTAAAAAAAAATGTCCTTTTTAAGGGGTAAGAATTTCGATTTTTATGTTTATGTTAGTTTTCAAAAAAATTAAAAATCCTTCGTTCACGGACTAGCTATTATAATAAATAAGTGGTCAAAATTTGGTGTTGATCGGATTAATAGTTTTTTAGTAATCGTGTCTACCGCAAAGGTAATTTCGAAAAAACAAGATTCTGAGATAATCGCGTTTAAAGTTTCAAGTTTCTTCCGGCCGATGTGCAAGTAGTGCGCTATAAATAGCTACAACCTCGGTTGTAATGCTCCGATCGTTATGAATTTTTGTGAGAGTATTCTCAACAGTATATACTTAAAGAATATGCAATAAAAAAAATCGATTTTTTCATCTATCACAACTGTATATAACCCCTTAATGTCTCTAAAAATATTGCAATGGAACATTAAGGGATCCGCAAATAATTACAGCCAACTACTACTACTTATCAAATCACACTCTCCACATACTATATCGCTTCAAGAAACACATATACAACAGCTCAACAGTTTACCAACCCCTATAAATTATAACATACTGACAAACATTGCATCCAACAGATTTGGAGGAGTAGCCCTACTTATTCATAAATCAATTCAGCATACGCAATGCAACATCAATGAAGATTTCGGCAAAAGCCGAAATAAAATCCAAACAAAAATTTAAATTATATGCCATTTATATCTCACCCAACAAAGCTTTTTCACGCAATAACTTAAACAACGTTATAAACATCAACAATGAATTAGTTATGATAACAGGTGATTTCAATAGTTGGCACCAAAATTGGGGATCCCCGCAACCAAACTCAAGAGGAAAAGTAATAGCCAAATTTATTGAACAATCGCAACTTACCCTCTTAAACGATAAATCACAAACTCACGTTGATCTTACCTTCTGCTCTCCAATCCTAACCAACCTCTTTCCCAAAAACCCCACCAGCAATCCAAGTAATTTCTATTTTAAAATTAAAAAAACCAACTGGGAAAATTTTCAGAAATACACACAACTTTAACGAGTTATACCCCTGCTCAAACAACATCAACAAAGAAGCTGCACCAATCAACAAAATTTTAATACAAAGCGCACATCATACAAAACCCCAAACACCACCAAACATCCTATTACCCCGAGTTCCCTGGTGGAACAAAAAACTATAAGACCTATACCAAAACTCTAAAATAATAAAAAAAAAAGCTCATATCTCAGAGTAGATGAAAATACGTTAAAAAGCACCGAAGTTAAAATTTTTTTTCCTATTAATTTCCTGATCGTTCCTATGGCAGCTATAAGATACAGTCGTCTGATTTTTATAAAATTGCGTAGAAACGGACAGACGGACGGACAGACGGACGGACAGACGGGCGGACAGACGGACGGACCGACAGACAGACGAACATGGCTAGATCGACTCGGCTGTTGATGCTGATCAAGAATATATACTTTATAGGGTCGGAAAGGTCTCCTTCACTGCGTTGCAAAGTTCTGACTGAAATTAGAATACCCTGCAAGGGTATAAAAATTGAGAGCACTAAAAAGACAAATAACACAGCAAACTATAATAGAATATCGGAGAGCCAATGTGCGCCTAAAAAGAGAAATTAAGACTAGGAAAACAGAAGCAACTACAACATTTACATCAACTATACACCAACAAGTTTGGACGATTTTGCGGACTGAACCCAACAAAGCAAATTCTCTGCATCACAGCTTCCAATGAGACGACTACGGATAAAAACAAAATAGTCAACCTGTTCGCACGACATTGGTCTGACCTTTCAAAGGACACAAACTTCGACCATAAATTCATAACACAAAAATACACATCTATAACTATAAACCACTCTCCATCAACATCAGCAATAGAAATAAAAAAGAACATAAATAAAATGGAATTTAACACGGCACTACAATCCCTGAAGGGTTCAACACTAGGAATTAACAGGATCTCATACCCTATTATCAGAAAAAGCTTTCTAACAACGCATGATAGAATAATAGCGCAATCCAACCAAATATACAACAACTACATTCCGCAATCATACAAAATCAGCCTTACCATACCCATACTACCATACCCGTACATTCTAAAACCCAACAAAGAAAAAATAGACATCAACTCCTGCAGACCCATCTTTCTAAACTGCTGCATAGGAAAACTCCTGGACAAGATAATCTCACAGCGACTATGGTGGTTCCTTACGAATAATAGATAATTACATTCAAATCAATTCGGATTTAAAAAAGGAAAGTCTACTTCAGATAGTCTACTGTGCGTAGACCACCTTATCACTAAAGCATTGAACTCAAAAAAAAACATATCTCGTTAGTCTCTCTCAACTTTGTCAGAGCATTCGACCGGGTCCGTAGTACCCTTAATAATAGACCAACTCATTAAATGGAAATGCGAACCTAAAATAATAAATTAACAACCCGAGTAGGATCACAAACCTCTACAATACACCCTTTAGAAAATATTATTAATAGCATTCAACAAATTAAGCAACATATTTTCTCTACACAAAGAGATAAACTTCAGTGCTTACGCGGATGACTTCTTTCTAATAATAAACCTAGATAAACGCAAAAATACAAATTATGACCTTAAAACACTCTTCACTGAAATAAAATCCTGGGGCGAGTACTCTGGTGCGTCTCTTTCACCAACAAAATGCCAATATCTGCATTTGCACGATCACCTGTAACAACGCCAACATAACAAACTCCTCATCACTCAAGTTACTTGGACTCTGGATAAACAACAAATACAACTCGAACACCCAAATCATTGCCCTCATCCCAGCACTTTCAAACAAACTCAACATTATAAAATGCCTGGCTAGCCCACGATTTAACTGCAACACGCACACATTGCTTAACGTCACAAAAGCAATACTCATATCAAAATTCGACTACGGACTACATATGGACAAGCCGCGAAAACCACTCTTAACAAATTAAGAACTTCATCCAACGCAGCAATCCGACTAGCTCTGGGAGCATTCCGCATGACACCCATCCACAACTTACTATACGAAGCAAACATTTCAACAATAAAACAAAAACGCGAACATTAAACAGCAAATCTCTTCAAATCCCTAATACAAGTTAAAGATACTCCTATCGCCAAATATATAAAATCAAACACCAGAAGGAAAAAATGGATCTCAACAATACGAAACGCAATTACAAAATGCCAAACTAACGGAATAACATACCAGCCGATAACGATTCACAAACTAAAACCTGCCTGGCAAATACCCAGCAAATCAATCAATATATCAATTCACACTTACAACAAAGCCAACACACGTCCTGAAACATACCAAAAAATCTTCGATGAAATAAAAACATATCAAAATCACACGTTAATCTTCACCGACAGATCTTAGAAAAGCTCGATTACAACATATGCAATCACCACAGAAACCGAAACTCTAGCAAACGGAAGGCTACCACCCTACTCATCAATAAAAACTGCCGAAATCTTAGCAATCCTCGAAGCAGCTAAAATAATATAAAAAAAGAGGCAAATTTGTAATATGCTCTGACTCACTAGAAGCAATCGAAGCCATCAAAAACCCACTCAACAACAACGCATATCCAGCACTCATCCGATCGATCATTTCATTCCACTACCCGAAACTCAAAATGGATTCCATACCAGGACACAGAAACATTAAAGGAAATGAAATGGCTGACAAATCAGCCAAATTAATATTAAGAATGCCACTTATGTTCCCATCCAATCATAACACAAAAGACATAAACGGATTCCTAAAACACCAACTAAACCAACAAACACAAAGCCTACTCATCAAATGCAATACCTGGTACCATAACATCAATACCAACAACTCACACACATCGATGTACTCAAAGATAGCACAAGAAGAAGTCACTCGTCTCGACCAAATAAAGTTTACCCGATTACGATTGGGCCATACAAGCCTAACACACAAACATCACCTAAATAGAACAACACAACGAAACTGCCCACTTTGCCATACATACACTCCAGTCACTATAGATCACATCCTAAATCTTTGCCCATCAATAGCCCATATGAAAAGAAATATCCTTAAAAACATAAACGCCACACACTATTTAGGTAACCCCTCTACAAAAAACATCAAAATAATAATCAAATTTCTTAAAGAATCAACATTTAACATAAACTAACAAATTGTACATTTTGTAAATAATACACCATTAACGCCGTATATTGTCGATGGCCCTGGCAGCTCGTACTATATATTGATATGTGAGTTTTAGTTTTACAAGCTATTCTAACATTTCATAAAATAAAATGAACAAAAAAAGAATCAATTTAAGACTGCAAAGGTATACAAACTTCGGGGTGCAGAAGTTAACTTCCTTTCTTGGGTTTATTATTACAAATAGTATTTAAAATTATATCTGTAATAACATTTAAAATTGAGATTGGGTCACGCCAATGTATAAAATGTATAAAATGTTTAAAAAAATAACAAAATTAACTATTTAAATAAAACAAAAAATATATGTAGATAACACCATAATGAAAAATAATAAAGCACAAGGATTTCGGCGAGTGCATTTTTTAAGTTTATTAAAATTGATACTTACATGTCTATGAGAATTTCCAGTAGTTCCATTAACTTAACATGCATCTCCGGCAAAAAAGTTTCAAAATATTTTTCATCAATTCGAGCGTTGTTTCTTTGGTGAATTTTAGCACTTAACCCATATTTTATTAATCCAAGTATTTGTTGGGTACAAATATATTTTGTATTTATTAATGGTTTGCTAAAAGTATTCATAAATATCATTTCATGCTAAAAATTATTTTAATAGTTTCTCACCTCAATGTAATTTTGAGAAATTCAATAAGATTGAAAATTCGTTGAAAAACCATTTCGGACCTATCAAAAGGATCTTGTTTAACTTCCAATGTAAAATGTTCGAAAGAATTGACTATAAAACAACTCTCGAAAGTTTCGTCTGTATTATTAAATTCACTGTTCAAAAAATAATAGAGGGATTTTATCAGGGACAATTGGTAATCTCTCCATAAAGTTGCACCTTTACTTTTTCCACTGCTTGTATTACCGGGAATATTCTTTAACAAAAGCCAACATTCTCCGGACTGATGTATAATATCAGAATTTTTGTTGTCTAATAATGATATTAATAATTTTTCAATTGATGTTATTCCAGTTTTAATCGCTTTTGGGTAATATATGAGGCATTGTTTAATTGTTAGTAAGAGAGAAACTATGTTTTTCTCGCTTTCATATATTCTGTGATGAGATAACATATCAAATAGCTTTGATAAATAACTGGATGCAAATGTTTTTGATAAATTAACGTCGGATTGCATTTTTGAAATAAGAAGTGCTGAAAATAATCGATAAAATATATTGACCATTAATTGTAATATTTTTTCTAGATATATATAAGAATTCTGAAATCGTAAAGCGTATAACTCTAAATATATAAATATGTGGAAGAAACCAGAAAGGAAGCAAACTTCGGTACGTCAAGTTTGTATACCCTAGCAAGAACATATTATATTTTATATCATAAAATACGTAACGGTTATCTAACTGTCCTATCTTGTTATTTATCAGCTCGGTCCACTTTTACCGTGCATAACACGCAGTGTTACAATAATTATTTGACTCGTTGCAGGTCCCAGTTTTCTGAGGACCCAAAACAGTTCTATAATTTTGTTTTGACTAAACGTAAACCCATTACTCATCCTTTCTCGCTCTATTTTTAATATACAACAGCAGATAATGATCAGGCAATAGCCGATCTATTTGCTCAGTTTTTTCAAACCACTTACTCCAACTTAATAGACCCAAATCAGGCTTATTCTTCCATCATCCCCAAATCGAACCAAATCTTCAGTCCTACCTTAAGGGGTTATATACAGTTGTACCGCGCAACAAAAATGCAATTTTGTCGATTTTTTTTTGATATCATAAAAAATATTTATTAAAAATGTTTTGCCGACGTTGTTTAGTACATGTTTCTGGGTATTTTATAAAATTTTTTCATAAAAAAATATTAAATATTAAAAATGTTATGGCCGAATTCCAAGATCGTCTTTTTTTCGATGGTGACTTGCGGTGGACATCATATACCGAGAACGGTTCATCCGAAATCAAAAATTAAAAAAATTTTCTTTAGTATATTGTATTGCCTAGTCCTCTAGACCATGGATTTGTAAAACGTTTGATTAAAAAAAAAATGGCGACAGTTTTAACAAAAAATTTACTTTTTCAAGGTATAAGATTTTCGATTTTTATGCTCTAAAAAAAAAAAGTTTTCAAAAAAAATTAAAAATTCTTCGTTAGAGGACTAGCTATTGTTATAATAAATAAGTGGTCAAAATTTGGTGTTGATCGGATTAATAGTTTTTTAGTAATCGTGTCCACCGCAAAGGTAACTTCGAAAAAAAAACGATTCTGAGATAATCGCGTTTAAAGTTTCAAGTTTGTTCAAGCCGATGCGCAGGTCGTGCACTATAAATAGCTACAACTTCTGTTCTAATGCTCCGATCGTTATGAATTTTTGTGAGAATATTCTCAACAGTATATACTTGAAGAATATGAAAAAAAAAGTCGATTTTTTTATCATCACAACTGTATATAACCCCTTAAACGAAAGCTCTCTTCTTTGAGATCTTCATCGTGTTAAGCCAGTTTTTTTTACCAGGTCCCGATGGAATACCTAGCTGTGTGCTTAGGAATTGTGCCGAAGCCCTGTGTAATCCCCTTCTCAAATTGTTTACCTTATCCTAAGAAACCTCCCACTTTCCCCTTATTTGGAAGGAATCATTCGTTATTCCACAAAAAAGGTAGCAAATTGCAATTACAGAGGAATCTTTAAGTTGTCGGCCATCCCAAAACTGTTCGAAAATGTCATTACTCCTCATCTGCTGCACCTGTGTAGGTCAATTATTTCTCCATGTCATCATGGTTTTATTAGGCGAAGATCAATTACAACCAATCTGTTGGAGCTCACTTCCTTTATTATAAAGGGCTACCGAAATGACTTTCAAACAGATGTAATCTATACTGATTTAAGTAAAGCATTTGACTCTGTTAACAATTCTCTTCTTGTTCGGAAACTCGATTTAATGGGATTTCCGATTGATCTTCTTAATTGGATCTCATGTTATCTAAATGGCAGGACGCAAAAGGTCCTTTTTAAAAATAAACTATCTAATGTTCTTAGGGTTACATCAGGTGTCCCGCAAGGGAGTCATTTGGGTCCCCTACTGTTTACATTATTTATCAACGATCTGCCAGAAGTTTTGACCAACTCCAGAGTACTTATGTATGCTGATGACGTCAAGCTTTGTGTGCAATATAACGATGCTACTTGCCAATCAGACTTACAGACAGATCTTAACAATTTTCAAACATGGTGCTGCGTGAACTTATTAAACTTAAATGGCTCTAAATGCGAGCTAATGACATTCTCCCGTGTCGTTCCTAAGCCTGCAACTTATACGCTAAACGGCTGCTCTTTGGAAAAAATTAATATAGTTGATGATTTAGGTATCCGTCTGGATCCTAAACTCGACTTTATCGATCATATTTCATGCATGGTGAATAAAGCCAGGGTGGGCGAAGATATGACCCCTATGTTACAAAAACGTTATATACTTCATTTGTTCGTCCTATCTTAGAATATGCATCCTGCGTTTGGAGCCCTCAGTATGGCGTCCATAGTAAACGCATAGAATCGGTTCAAAAAAACTTCTTACTTTTCGCTTTACGCGGTTTAAACTGGGATGCAAACCAGAGGTTACCGTCTTATTCTAGTAGACTCTTACTAATTAACTTACCCTCCTTATCTAATCGCAGAACCATGCTAGGTACGTGGAAAGTACGTGGAAAGTACTGACTTGCTCGGTCAGCTAAATTTTCACGTACCAATACGAAACACTAGATCCTTTTTACCATTAGTTTTGCCCCACTGAAGAACATCCTTTGAACTGCATGAACCCTTTAGAGTCCTCTGTGCAAATTATAACGATTTGTACACAATAATATCTAATGTTGATAGCCTCCCAAAACTAAAAACTTCAATCTTAACCTACTTAGTACGCATGCAAAGCAACCAATCCGGCAGTACGCCAGTAATAGTTTCCCCGCATCCTTTTTTTTAATTCCTTCGCGTTTAATAATTGCTAACAGAACAAGCACGTGCTTGGTGTCGCAAGTTCCACTTGATATGTACTGTACATAGTGAATCAAAGTCTTGCAATAATAAAATAATAAAATAAAAAAAAAATACAGTTATTTTAATTTCATTCAGTCTGACAGTAAATTGAATTTTAAGAATATTTCTCGAGAAACAGAGACGTGATCCAATCCTTCCAAAAATCTGCGAATCTATAAAAATCTGTTAACAATCTAAGCAATTTTATCAACAATTGAAAATTCAATAAAAATACCGCAAAACTTTTTTGAATACCTTTTATAAAATTAAAACAAATTTTATGCTCACAAAAGTAGTCGTTTCTGTTATTATACCCTTGCAGGGTATTATAATTTCAGTCAGAAGTTTGCAACGCAGTGAAGGAGACTTTTCCGACCCTATAAAGTATATATATTCTTGACAAGCATCAACAGCCGAGTCGATCTAGCCATGTCCGTCCGTCTGTCCGTTTCTACGCAAACTAGTCCCTCAGTTTTAAAGCTATCTGAATGAAACTTTGCATATAGTCTTCTATATACTCTCACTGCTATATATGTCGGAACGGGCCGGATCGGACGACTATATCATATAGCTGCCATACAAATGTTCGATAAATTTTTAGAAAAAAAATTATAACTTGACAGTTTTTCAACATTTTTGCATCATTTTTGAGATATAGCACATTTATATTCAGGCCTGTTTTCGTTTTTGAAAACGAGAAATTGGTGCTCCGGTAATCGAAAACGAAAGATTTTTTCGATTTGAAAAACGGGCACCTTTTTCTGGCCGGAATGAAAAGTAAATGGCTTTTTTTATATGAAATCAGATCTTATTTACAAAAGGAAAAAAATAGTTTACTCAGTGGTCTATTGATGTTTATTCCACACCACCACAAGATCATTCTGCCACGTAGTTATTTTATAAAAAATTTATTTCTGACCCCACCTCAGATTTGACAACAAAATTTTTGCCGTGTTCAACCAGTTTTCTCGTTTTGGCGATAGGTCGATAGGTTCACCGCAAAAAGTTATCGCCAAGGTTGCCATATTGTTGGTGGAACGAAACAGCCAGTTAAAAATACTTATAAAATATAAATGAATACATTAATAACTTTAAAGTACCGCCAAAATGGTTGTTTATAATTAATGCTATTTAATGTGATTACTTAAATGGTCCAAATTAACCAAATAATTATTTGAGACCACCGGAATTAAAACTGTGAAAAGTGTGGCAGCATCTTAGGGGCCTATATTTGCTTAACTCTACCATTTTTTGCCTTTTTCTGGCTAATAAAAAGGCAATTGTAAATATAATAGGCAGTACTTTACGTTGTTTGCTTATTACCAAAAACACAAGCTAGCTGCTTGAGCAGTGAGAAACGATGAGAAAACGAAACACTCCGATAGCAGAAATTTGCCGAAAACCGGAGCAGCTAAAAACGAAAACGGTTCGTTTTCGCCCAAAACGAAATCGAAAAAATTTTACGATTACCGGAGCAGGCCTGGTTATTTCAGATTTTCGGTTTTAATTTTATGAAAATCGGACTACTATATCTTATAGCTGCCATAGGAACAATCGGGAAATTAATTGAAATAAATTATAACTTCATTGTTGTTCAACGTATTTTCATCTACTTTCAGACATGAGCTTCTAGTATTATTTCAGAATTTTGGTAAATATTTTATGAAAATCGGACGACTATATCTTATAGCTGCCATAGAAACGATAGGGAAAGTAATAGAAAAAATTATAACTTCGTTGTTTTTCAACGTATTTTCATCTACTTTGAGACATGAGCTTTTAGTATTATTTCAGAATTTTGGTAACAATATTATGAAAATCGGACAACTATATCATATAGCTGCCATAGAAGTGATCTGTAGATGTAGAGATGCTGGGAATGTATAACTGTAACTGTCAAACTGTAAACATAATGATCTCTCTGATCTCTCTGGCTCCGCTGGAGAGGCTTTTTTTTATGATTAGATCTTTATCTTGGCTCTGGCCACTCTTGTAATTAACTCTTGTAAAAATATCTGAACTGAACTGATTAATGAAATATAAATTAATGTCACCTCCTAATAATAATAAATAAATATTCAAGAATAAGCTTTTGAATCAAACATTTTGGCGACCGTGACAGGACTCGTGACATTGTTTATATTAATTAATTGGTGAAG